GCAATATAACACACAAGGAAAAAATATACAATCATTGGATTTGAATGATCCCTTTAACATACTTCAAAACTAAATGTTCTGCTAGCGGTTGTGGTGGTGATGGTAGAGTACAAATGTAATCAACTGTTTTCGACTTGTCACCCTCACTTTGTGGCGTTTGATGTATTATTCGCTTCATTTGACCGACAGGTCTTGACAAATAAAACACATTTTGTCAAAGACAAATATGTAAACAAACACACTACGTTCGCCACCAATGACACAGGACGAGAAAACACACGTTCCTTTGTTTAGATAAAGGATATCCGAAAAGGGCCAGCACACTCTAAGGAACAGTATCCAAATGTCACAAGACCTACCACCAATTATTTGTTGTGGTCACATCGCGCACACCGTTGGCAGAGTCGACGTGCTTCCAATTAGCGTGTAATGAAAAAATCTAGTCGCTTATAATGCAGAGTAAAATTGAAACCGAAAAGCCCAACAAACCCATATCAACTAGATTTCTTAACTAGAACGTCTACCAATTTTCATCAAGTACTGGAACTGATTAAAATTTTGAAATTTCCAATTTACTTGTACAAATGTTATTATTCCGCACAACTTGTAACGAAAATGAATATGTACTCTGCTAGGTTATGCATTACACGATGAACTGTACAAACGTCATACATCGTTGAGCGGGGCAACGGAACGGGAATCGTTTAAGCATCAATCGATTGAAGGACACTTGTCGCAAAAATTTGAGCAGGTATAGATAGAGAAGTATATACCACGAAATATTAAATATTATGTTTACAAGTAATTTGGTATAATTTCATTGTAGCTAGGGATAAGAAAATCGTTATGGTTAACAATTTAAAATACCATAATCATTTGCACATACCATTATATTATATTATATTATATTATATTATATTATATTATATTATATTATATTATATTATATTATATTATATTATATTATATTATATTATATTATATTATATTATATTATATTATATTATATTATATTATATTATATTATATTATATTATATTATATTATATTATATTATATTATATTATATTATATTATATTATATTATATTATATTATATTATATTATATTATATTATATTATATTATATTATATTATATTATATTATATTATATTATATTATATTATATTATATTATATTATATTATATTATATTATATTATATTATATTATATTATATTATATTATATTATAATATATTATATTATATTATATTATATTATATTATATTATATTATATTATATTATATTATATTATATTATATTATATTATATTATATTATATTATATTATATTATATTATGTTATATTATATTTTATTATATATATATATTATATTATATTATATTATATTATATTATATTATATTATATTATATTATATTAGATTATATTATATTATATTATATTATATTAGATTAGATTATATTATATTATATTATATTATATTATATTATATTATATTATATTATATTATATTATATTATATTATATTATATTATATTATATTATATTATATTATATTATATTATATTATATTATATTATATTATATTATATTATATTATATTATATTATATTATATTATATTATATTATATTATATTATATTATATTATATTATATTATATTATATTATATTATATATTATATTGGCTGTTGTTTATCGTTTGGGTTACTTTGCCTTACTTCGAATTGAATATTTTTTAACATTTTTGGGTAGCTTTGATGGTAAACCTCCCTGTGAGAAGCTATCAATACCGATAATCGGCAATACAACAATTTCAAACAAGTTTTGCAAACGAATTAAAACGGGATAACTTTTCATCTCTGAATATATTTCAATACACTCACCCGCCTTTTGGTGGAACACAACTATTATTTTTTTTTTAAATTCATCCTTTATTCTTTTGTCGTATTTTAGGAGTACTATCAATGGTGAAAAATGAGTGAGAATGAGGTTACAACGCGACTTAAAAAATATACAAGGCTTTACTTCTTTTGTGCTAAACTAATTTAAACAAGTGAAAAAGCGGTAAGTTCGGCCGGGCCGAACTTTTGATACCCTCCACCATAGATATATTGACAAGCTACTAGAAATGAAAATATAGGGAACATACCGAAAAGGGGACCTATAATGACATTTTTAAAAACGGATTATGTAAACCATAATACAAATTTTAGATGTTGTTAAAGGATAATTATACCCTCAGCCTTATGGCTAATGAGTGTTTATACTCTTTAACACGGTGAAAAAGTGCCTCATCGAAATATTGGTTCTAGACCCCATGTGTCTTTGGACCAAATCCGTTTCAGAAAACTTAGATTTCATCCGAACTTTGCCTATCTTATTATTTCTTTCAAGCTTAGTTAAAATTCGAAGATGGGGAATATTGGTCCACTCCTTCTGGAACCTCCAATCAGGGGCTAGGTCTAAATGCGGCTATAGTTCATTATCGAACCTTACGTTCTAATTTATTATCTCTGTATCCTACGCAGGTGAAATGATTACAAAAGAGTCTTAGAACCAAACTCAAAACGCGGAACAAATCAGATAACTATTTTAATATAAAAAGGGGGTTATATGGGGACTACCCCAAAAAGGGAGCGAATATTAATAATTTTTGGTAGGGAGATTTGTTACCATATACGACTACAAAATACCAAATTGCAGCAAATTCGGTTAAAAAACGCGCCCAAGAACCCAAAAATACCGAAAATTGGGGGTATAATTCGAACTTGACCTGCCTGCAGACCAAAGAAAACCCTATGAAAAATTTCAGCACCCTATCTTAATTCCTTCAGAAGCGTGATTACAACAGACGGACGGACATAGAATTTTACCCTGATCAAGAATATAAATACTTTATAGGGTCGGAAATGAATATTTCGATGAGATACCAACGGAATGACAAAATTAATATACCCTCCATACTATGGTGGAGGGTATAAAAGTGGTAAATTGGCAACACTGGTACAGACCCTTATATAGGTGATTATATCGTGCTATGGGGTCAAACATGGACTCACATAGTAAATTATCTGTTAACAGAATGCAGAATTATAATTTACAGCCCCAAAGATGGGAAAATCGTCCAAATATTCTAAAAATACCGAAAAAATGGAGTTTCGATTTTGAAAATTGTTTGCAAAAAAGTGTTTTTTTTAAACACAAAGAACTCAGTATGCCAAATTACAACTTCGTTTAGAAAATGGCAATAATAGGAGGGGATACGGGGATTTTTTGTAAAGATATTTCTCACATTCCAAAAAACCAAAATGCCAAATTTCAAAGCTCTATCTTAAATATTGCGACCTCTGTCATGAATTTAAAGGACAGAACGAATTCCATATACAATTTTATTCTGAACAAGAATATACTATTTGAGATCTCCGACAAATATTTCGAGGTTTTCTATCGGAATGACAAATTATAATCAGACTATGTGTTTTTTATGTTATACTTTACAAAAACTTCTATTGTTCAAAACTATAATTTGTGTTTTCTTTGTGCTTTGCAAATATGATCGTTTTCCGAAAAGTAAAGAAGTAAGTAATTTAAGGGAACCCCCCTCCCCCCCCCCCTTCACGATTTTAATTTTTCAAGATTTTCAATGGGCTGGTAAATGAATACAAATGCTTGTTAAGGTTTGTAACTTTGCACATATTTAATTGAAGATTTAAAAGAGAAGAAAAATAATTTACAAAAATTGTTTGTTATTGTTTTGTTGTTGTTTTTTGTAATTAAAGAAAAGTCCTCATTTTTGATGGCGGGCATGATAACTCCTCACTGGAACATCGGAATCCGAAAATTCCAACGGTGTTAGAAAGAGTACATGTCTGGTTCTCGTATGAACTAGGATTATTGACTTTGCTCTAAAATTAACAAAATGGTGGACCTTTGAAAAAATATTTTTGAAAAATCGCCGATTTTTTACCAAATACCAAGTTAAAATATAAGGAAGACTTCACCGATTGGCTTTATCCTAGTTCATACGAGACCTATACACTCAAAGACAAAGGTTGGAAAATTTGGAACCGATTAGATTATTAGTTTTTGAGTTATCGTGCCCGCCATTCGCAAAAAAATGTTTAGAGAAAAACGCGTTTAAAGTTTGAGAAGCCCTTCAGCCGTCACTTGATGCTGACACAATAAATCGGCTATATCTTCAAGAGTTCTTGAGATTTTCACTTGAAATTTTGTAGAGACATTCTTTAATCGGTGTAGATTCGAATTATATCAACAAAAATGTTGACCCCGAGAATGGGGGGTCCCCTTAAGTATTATACAAATGTGTTTCGAATTATAACTTATTATTGAATTAAAGTATTAAAAAAATCAGGGAATTTGCGGTAAATAAGCTGGTCGATTCGAAAATTAATTAGTTCACATTATTGAGAGTTCACAGTTTCGGATGTTCACATTATGTAGAGTTCACTGAAATTTAATTTGAATGTGTATACATCATAGATTTTAAATTATATTTATATTCTGTAGACCCCGGTGAATACTATTGTTGACAACTATATTGAGAAACGAAGAAAAAAATATATATTTGTTTTAGTTTAGTCACTCTCGAAATTGTGTATTGGAATAAAGAACATTTTCCAGTCTGCGTACATGCCGATAAATAGAAAATATAATACTTACTTGGAAACTTGTTTAATACAAATTATTATTTAAAAATATTTTCATAATCATTAAACACAGACTGATTTATACATCCGCTATATTTTTTGAGACATTTGTTACATAGAAGTACCTCTGTTTATTATAATTTTGTTAAGTTATATTACTTGCTGAGATTTATTATCCACAAAGATTTGTAAACATCGCCAGAAAATTACACTTCACTATTAAAAACATTGTTGTGAAACATATTAATAATCGTCACTTGTTCAAGTGTTTTACAACTTTCGCCAAACAAAGGAATATTTTCTTTTTTATTAACAAAGCAACATACCTGCCATGCGTTAGCATCAAGGGTGGCTAGGAATGACATGTCAAATTCCTGCAATAGGAATCATTTCATCAATAACGAAAATATTATTAATGCACAAATGTCTGTCCGGTTTCAGCGAGAGCTTACCTTCCTTCGGAAATTACTTGCGAAATCCAGAGTGAATGCCGTCAAACCCTAAGGTCAGTGAACAAAAAGGTAGAAAGACGTTGAATTTTTGCCGCAGGTTATAATATCACAAAATATATATTAGATTAGTGGTATTTTTTTAACTCTGTCGACACATAAAGTTTGTCTCAGTGTTTCTGTGCCTTATGCCGAGTGAAACAGGTACGGTCCGGCAATACAATTTTCGAAAGTTTATTTCCGTTTCCGTGTTACTTGCTATTACGGACGATGAACGCGTGCACGGAGGAGTCAAGGAAATTGAGACACTTTATTTGAACAACATATTACTTTGATGAATGTGTTTGGGAAAACTTCCGTATTTCTTGCGGTTGAATTCAAGAAATTCAGCAAACTTACGCGTTAAGAGTTTCGGTGCGAATGCAACGAGGTCCCAGCCTTTGGCTATGTACAACCTGGGGGTGTACCCTTCTCAGCTTCTGTTGGTATTGTTTGGTTTTTCAATGCGTACGTACATGCTGCGAAACACCTAAGATACACACGTATGTAGCTATGGACCCCATTCTACTCAGTTCATAAACGTCATCTCTTCTCCAATGGACAAGGATCTAAGGCTCCTCTTTTGTGTGTGTGTATGTGCATATGAGTATGAAGAGACAACTGGCTGCCTTGCCTTGCTGATTGGGCGGATAGGATACGCTGTGAGGAGTGGAATAGCATCGAGTCCGGTAGAGCGGTGTACGAGATGCGAGGGAACAACAATGCCTTAATGCGTCGGTTATTTAATCTTCCGCATACCTATCGTTGTGACCCGAGGAAAATCGATGCTTGCTGGCAATATTTGCCTTGGCTGGAGTGAATACACAATTTGGAGCTCGACACAACTGTCCACGCACACCTAGACAGACAGCGATTGCGTCTATGTGTGTATGAACAAAACAAAAAACGGCAAATGGCTCCGTAGATGGGGAATGGCCTCGTACATAATGTCGCACACACTGCCACACACACACACTTCGTCCTGATTCACAGGGATGCTGTAGCTTCCCACCCCAATGTCCCCCAAGTATATAGAAACCGTACTTGCAGTACTCAGTTGTTCACAAATATTGCCCGGGGAAAATATATCTCCCGACACCCATTCCGCCGTTTCTTTTACTTAGCCGCCCTACGGGAGTATTGGAGCTGCTTTGTTGCCGCTATTTACATGCTACCGACGTCCTACAAGAACAACTACATACATATAGATGTGTGTATGTATTTCGTGGCTCTTTGCATCGCATACTCACACGCATACACCCAGGGCATACGGCCATCCGTGTACGACTGTACACTCCACCTACTGTAGACGATTGTTAGCCCGGATTGTTGGAACAAAACACCGAAAATGGTTATAGTTTTATATTCCTATCAAAATATTGTGTTTACATATATTTGTACATTATGTATGGGGGTGATGTATATAGTATTTATACCCTTCACCACACTGTGGTACAGGGTATTATGTCTTTGTGCATATGTTTGTAACAGGCAAAAATAATCGAGATAGACCCATGGTTCCTTTTGAGAATATGCATAGAATCACTTTCTGAGTCGATTTACGCATGTCCGTCTATCCGTCCGTCCGTCCGTCTGTCCATGTTAAATTGTAAACAAAGTACAGGTCGCATTTATGATCCGAATTGGATGAAATTTGGCATAGGTCACTTATTTGGCCCAAGGACGAACCCTATTGAAATTGGGAAAAATCGGTTCAGATTTAGATATAGCTCCCATATATATATTTAACCGATTTAATGTAAACATTCCCTATATAACTTTCGATTTGCACGAAATTTAGTACAGCCTAATCATTTAGGTCTAGAATGATGTCTGCCAAGTTTCGTGAAAATCGGTCCAGATTTAGATATAGCTCCCATATATAGTTTCGTCCGATTTCATGTATATGGTGCCCCAAAGTCCCTATATATCTTTTGATTTGCACGAAATTTGGCATAACGTACTGAATTAAGCCTAGAGTGATGTCTGCCAAGTTTCGTGAAAATCGGTCCAGATTTAGATATAGCTCCCATATATAGTTTCGTCCGATTTCATGTAAATGGTGCCCCAAAGTCTCTATATATCTTTCGATTTGCACGAAATTTGGCATAACGTACTGAATTGAGTCTAGAATGGTGTCTGCCCAGTTTCAAGAAAATCGGTCCAGATTTAGATATAGCTCCCATATATAGTTTCGTCCGATTTCATGTAAATGGTGCCCCAAAGTCCCTATATATCCTTCGATTTGCACGAAATTTGGCATAACGTACTTAATTGGGCCTAGAATGATGTCTGCCAAGTTTCATGAAAATCGGTCCCGATTTAGATATAGCTCACATATATAGTTTCGTCCGATTTAATGTAAATGGGGCCCCAAAGTCCCTATATATCTTTCGATTAGCACGAAATTTGGTACAGCCTAATCATTTAGGTCTAGAATGATGTCTGCCAAGCTCCGTGAAAATCGGTCAAGATTTAGATATAGCTACCATATATAGTTTCGTCCGATTTCATGTAAATTGTGACCAAAATCCATATATATCTTTCGATTTGCACGAAATTTGGCATAACGTACTGAATTGAGCCTAGAGTTATGTCTGCCAAGTTTCGTGAAAATCAGTCCAGATTTAGATATAGCTCCCATATATAGTTTCGTCCGATTTCATGTAAATTGTGCACCAACATCCATATATATCTTTCGATTTTCCCGAAATTTTGCACAACGTACTGAATTGAGCCTAGAGTGATGTCTGCCAAGTTTCGATAAAATCGGTCCATATTTCTATATAGCTCCCACATATAGTTTCGTCCGATTTCATGTAAATGGTTCACCAAAGTCGCTATATATCTTTCGATTTGCACGAAATTTGGCATAACGTACTGAATTGAGCCTAGAGTGATGTCTGCCTTGTTTCGTGAAAATCGGTCCAGATTTAGATATAGTTCCATTTTATTATAGATTGATTTTATGTAATTGACGCACCAAGGAACCAATAGGAACAAAACGTTCTAAAGTTAGTATAACCTAACCTGTGACAAGTTTGCTTGAAATCGCTTAATATGTGGATATAGCTTACATATATTTTTTCGCCCGATATCAAGCAAATTGGGCATCATACTCCTCATGTTAGTCAGATTGACATCAAATTTTGCACAACGTACAAAATTGAGCATAGAATTACGTAGTTGCGTTTTCTAGAAGTACAGACATAGTCAACCGGATGACCTATTTATATTTGTTTGAAGTCGATTTACACACTTTATGGACAAATCTAGGTAGATTCACATTTAGATAAATATCACATATTTTATTTCATCCAATTTCATGTTAATAGTCCTGTTTAATGTACCCATAGTGGTGAAGGGTATCCTAGAGTCGGCCCCGTCCGACTTTACTACTTTCCTTACTGGTTTTTTCTTATATATCTATGTACATTAAATTGTATGTGCCGAGTTTGTTTCTCTTGTGCCGTCAGCAAAGAGGGAAACGGAAGTTGCGCTTCTGGGAATTGTTAATGTTCCTGTGCAGACTGTGGCCAAAAGCAAAATGACTGAGATGCTCAAAAATAAAAAAAAAAACAACTTACTCTTAAACAGGAAAAAATCTCTTAAGCACAATCTATGGTAATTTGGCTAATGCGCATGGAGAGCTCTGAAATTGTCCATAAAAAATCATCAACCATTTTGTCGTACATACCAGTATTTTACAACCAAATTTGACTTACAGTTGCTTTGTTATAGCCATCGAAGCGAGTGCCGTTCAATAATCTTGAGAATTTTGGATGCATTATTTTCGAGTTTCGTTTATTGCACGGTTTGTCGTCGCATCACATGCACGAACGCTAAGTATTTATTTTTGAAATGCAATAGAAAGGATAAAAAGTCAATTAAAAAAATATGTCGTGCTTTCAACAGAATATCTGCTGTATTTAAATGTCATTAAGATTTTTCTTCGGTTTCGGATTTCGATTTGCCAAGTCTAATGTTGTCATCCACAGACTAACCATATAAATTCGGGGACCACATCAAAGCTAAGACATACATTTTCAGTTGTATAAAAAAACCCAAAAAATTAATATATGGATACTGTAGGTACAGCATTTTTAAAGTCTGAGGGAAGATTCTTCTTTTTTGACCTATATGTTGTTGGTTGCGTTTACTGACAATGACAAATAATAAATTTCGAAAATAATTCAGTGAAAATAAGCGTAAGCGGATTTCAAATATGATCGTTTAGTGTATGTTATGGGTTATAAGAGTTTATGTAGAAAATGTGCGCGTTTAAATTACTACAGAAATGCAGAGTGACGGACTGGACAAAATCGAATTGAACGTTGATACAATGCATTAAGTGCAGCACACAATAAATAAGAAATAAACACCAACAAGTGAAAAATGCGTTAAATTCGGCGGTACTTTGGATACCCTCCACCATAGCTATACTGATAGTTTCTTGAAATGAAAATATAGGGCACATACCAAAAAGTAGAGGAAGTGATGCAAATGTGGTATAGTCACTTTTTTTGTAAACTGAAAATTTTAGAATAACTGAAACATGTTCTATAGTTTGCTGTTCTCAAAAAATAAGATAGCAATGATCTGATTAATTTATTTAAATCACGTTGAGAATCAGTACCAAAAATTAAATTTTTCATGAAATTGACTTTTTTCGGTTGAAGCTTATAAATAATTTTTTGTTTTACGGATGTAAATTAATCGTTATTACTAAAGCATTAAAATAATTAGTATGAACTACAAATCAAATAATATGCGCCATTGCACCACATAGTCACCAATTTAGGACAAAAACTAGACATTTCTTCAGTAAACACAAGTGCTGGTAATGTGGTATACCTTGGGTCTGCATGAAAAAAAGCCAGCTCTAGACAAAAACTCATTACTATTTGAAACATTTGTACTCTACGAGAGTCTACCATGAATCACAAGGATGAAAAACAAAGGCCATGAGTTTTAACAACTTCTCCATACAAAAAATAAATATTGCCATGTGTAGACATTGATGGGGCACATT